GGACTCCAAAGTCCGATAGGCAGTGTTTGGACGAATAAGCTATGAGGCAAGCATAAATATAGAGCAAACCATAGAATCTACTGTCTAGTAGTTGGCTAGTTGCACGTATAAGAAATTGGAAAACTGCTTTTCTCTGTATCCAAACCCAAACAGTCCAAGTATTAATGGTGTCAGCTGTTGCACAAGTAGAGCAACCCTAGAACTGTCCGATCCGCGTTCCTTGTCCAATAGGATCTGAACAAGAAAATGAGTAATTTAGATCTTAAGACTTTGGATGTGACTTTGCATGGGTGCATAAACCAAAGAGATATTGAAGCCTATAGATCCATCCCCATCACCCTTGAAGTTTGCTATCTCTGACTGCTTTTTCTCATAACACCATTTAAGTCGTGGCATTACTTCTAGGGATTTGATTTGCTTTTAGATTAATTGGTATGGCTCTCTTCAGAACGGGTACTACCGGGTAGGAATGGGTTAGGTGAGGTGGGTTAATTTACTGGATTTGGGTAAGGCCGCATCCCCACAAAAGTTTTAGGGTTAGGGTTCCATTTTGACCAAGGCGAAAAATACTTGGGCCATTTTCAACCGAAAAAGGATTAACCGAGGAGGCCAAAGGGTCACAGGCCAAATATAATTTATTATTTTAATTGAATTAATATAGTTAATTAAATTAAACTACCATATTAAAATAAGATTTTCGGACATATTTTGAGTGTCACTTGTCGTAAAATGAATTTGCCTCCGGATTTCTTCTCTTTATATAATCTCAATAATTTTTTGGATAGGATTTCAAGTGACATGTGTCGCTAATGTGAGTAACTCTCCATATTTCTTCTCTTTATGTAATTTCAATAATTTTTCGGATAGGATTTGACACGACCGACCCTGATATTCTCGAAACACCAGGTAGGCACGTGTTGGCCGCACCCAAAGATGATGAAGCCATATTAGAATGCATGAGAACTAGAAAGAAATAACTAACATAAATAAAACTTGTAAATTTAACTATAATGAATATGCAATTATGGAATGTGTTCAAAGCATACAACTAATCCAAGACACTAAAAAGGAATAATATAAAATTTGAATGAACAAGGAGATGGGTCCTACACCGAGAGGACTCGAAGATGCCAATGCCGGAGTACCTTGACGTCGAAATTGTACACCTCGATTCTAAGTCTTGAGGAGGCGCAAAACAAAACATGAGTGGTCCAAGTTGATATATAGTAATACTAAAACAGTTATTCAACAACGTACTAACCCCCAAAGTTTATGAAAACTCAATAGCATAATATGTAATAGGTTTTCCAAAACCCTAGCATGCCATAAACTTCATAAAACATATATCATATATAGTGTGCTTAGTAGTGGTATCACAATCGCCCGTAGGCACTACATCTCACGGCTATATAAGTATCTTTCGGCCGAAGCCAATGTAAGTATCTTCTGGTCGAAGCCACCAACCTACACCCGGCCGAAGCCATATATAAGTATCTTCCAGCTGAAGCCACCAACCTATGCCCGGCCGAAGCCAATATAAGTATCTTCCGGCTGAAGCCACCAACCAGATGCCAAGCCGAAGCCATATATAAGTATCATTTGCCCGTAGGCAGTATCATATGAATAACCACTAAGTAAGCACATAAAAACATTAACATAATATTTCTAATATATATATATATCTCAAAACGAAGCTCAGTAACTAAAACGTCATGTCGTAAAACCATGTTCATAAGTAGGTAGTCATCAATCATATATACCACAAAGAACGTAAAGTCGATAAAGCATGATAATTCATAAAGCGTGAAACCAATTTACTCATAAACGTTTCATAAAACGTAGCCATTAAATCATGTTTTTCATGTATGCATTTCTAATAGTAAAATCATGCATTTTAGAAGGGGTCCACTCATAGATGCTTCGCCGTCTAAGAGTCGTGCAAACTAGAGAAGATGGAAACGCCATAAACAATTACACCTAAGCACATAAAGGTACAAATTAATAAAACTATATTAAAATGGTTGAATTTCGGGAAACAGACGTCATAAATGGATTCAAGACTTCGAAAAACATAAGAGGGACCAAGGCTAGCCCCATGCACAGCTGCATGCACACTCACACCCCGCCACACGCTGGAAGCCGGGACGGCCACCCGCGGATTTAGGTCACTGGAAAGTTGGTTGGAAAAGTCACCGGCACAGTACCTCCGGTGGAGGCGCGTGTGCTCTACGCGATGGCCAAGGTTCTGGGATGGGCCGGCTTAGCTGCGTTAGGCCGGCTTAGGTTTTACGGATCAGGTTTGACTCATTTTCAAGCCGGGTTGGCCGATTTTAACGAAGAAGAAAGTCAGAGCTTTCCAAGCTTTGGTCAACCTCGAACCTCCACTATAACCTATGATTTACCTACCAAATTGAAGACGAACAAGAGTTTACTAGGATTATACCTTTGGTTTCCCAATTAGTGGCCAGAGTTGGCCGGAAAAGTCATCTGAAAACCCACGGTTCAAGCCAGGAATCTAGGTTTAGCTCATCCGAGGTGTTTCTTCATAGTTTGACGTCCAAAGAAGGTTGTTGGGTAGTCTTTGTGCTTCACAAAGAATGAAGGGGAGAAGATCTACAACTGGTGGTGGGTGATGGTGTTCGTTGTAGGTGTGGGTGTAGGTTTGCTCACGAATAGGGAGGGAGATGATGAGATGATGAGAGTGAACTGTGAGAGAGAGGTCTGAGAGTTTGAAAGCTTCACGAGATAAGGGAAGAAAGAGAAAAGGAAAGAGAGGGATAAGGAAAAGTCGGCCAGGGGACAAAGTTGTAAGGGTGGGCCCCACGTGGCTCACCAATTAAGACTAAAAGTAACTAATTCAAAAATATCTTTCAACCTAAAGTGAAAATTATGAAAATGCCTTTCCATTCCGTAAATTGCGGGACGAGTCTTTACAGGATTTCGAGTGACACGTATCGGTAAAGTGAGTAACGCTAAAGTGAAAAGTATGTGAGAAATGGTGTATGAATGACTTAGGTATTTATAGGGAAAAAAATTAGAATTTTTTTTAAATTCGTCCAAAAAAAAAATTCAAATCCAACGGTAACCTGACACCAACTAGATGGCGTCATGCTGATGCCAAGTAGCCATTGGCATTCAAATGGGCTAAGCTGGAAGGCTGGCAAAATGTCAAGCTTGACATTTTGGTGCTGGAGGTTTGGCAAAATGTCAAGCTTGGTATTCTGGCCCTGGAGGGCTGGCTAGATAGCTGGAAATGGCCAGCCCGCTAGCCTGACTTAGAGGTTTTGGCCCGGTGAGGCCCACAAGCACTTTGGTTTAGCCCTCGGTTGAAGACGGTTTTCGTGTCATTCCAAGCTATTTGTAGCCCTATGATCTTTTAGCCGGATCGGTTGGAGATGACCTTATCTACCCATAACTAGGAGCGAATCTATTAGAGGGCCTGGATGGTTTTAGGACCACTCGGAAGCACAAATAAATGGTTGTGAAGACCTCCATTGCAGTTTAAAAAGAAGAAGCGACAACTACATTGCAGTTTAAAAGAGAAGAAAAGTGGCGACAGCTGCATTGCAGTGTAAAGAGAAGAAGAATACTTTCTTTTTAAATGACTTCACCAAAACAACACTGTTTTGAGCCAAACTATTTGAAAAAAATAAAATAAAACTCATCCTTCTTAATAAGCCTGTGAGACCCTCACCTTTTTAACTCAAAAAGAAAGAAAGGTTCGAATGACTGTTTCCACTCCCAGACCAGAGACTTCACTTTACCAAAGCCCATTTCATTCACTTTTACAATTCCAATTCCCAAATTGGCCAATTGGCTAACCCCACTCAACTGGTCCCTAGGCCAACACCAGATGCTCCACGCCTCCACCTATCTCCCCTTCCAAGCTCCTCCTCCACCACTGCGACGACATCACGACTCCCACTTCGTCAAACTCTACAAGTTTCCAGGTCAATAGCGACTTTTTGTTTGTGGGGGGGGGGGGGGGGGGGGGTTTAAAAATTGAGTTTTTGGATTTGTTGAGTTTTTGTTTGATTAATATCAACAAGCAAAAATTAGATTTTGTGTATTCAATATGAAATGCTGGAATTAAAAGGCGTTATAGAATTCAAAGACTCACTATTTGATATAAGTTTTGTCTTCTAAAAGATGTGAGATTTTATCCTAAAAGACCTCAGTGGAATTAAAGTTGTGAGTTATTTCATGAGATGACCAATGTGGGACTCTCTGCTTTGTTCAACATGCCCCTCATGTTCGACCACTTTGGAGTAGCCATGCGTAGAGCTACATCAGTCATGGTTGTAAGTGAACCCAATAATTCAGCCCTAATCTAAATACCTGCTATGTAACCCAAAGAGGTGTGGAGTTTTATTCTAAAGAACTCGGTTCAATGAAAAGTTGAACCAATTGATATAAGGATGTGATATCTACACACCATTGTTTACTTCTCACATCTTTTTAAATTTTTGGCCGTAGAATAGAATAAATTAAAGAAGATCAACGACGAGAAATTAACAAGGGATGTTTGAGAACTAATAAAAGATGTGTGGATAGCACACCCCTTGATATATATTTGTGAGACGCTCGTTGTACAACTTTTTGCTTTATTCAACAACCTTTAGACCCAAATATAACATTTTAGTCCAAACTTTCCACCGATTTGAAGCCTTCAAGTTGAACGACGTTTATCTCAGCGTCGCCATCATGTTCTGCAAGAGGGTCATCACTTCATGTACTCATCCGCATTCCTGCAATTTTTTTTTTCTGTGCAAGTAAAGTCACCATCTAGCTCTCGATCTAGTGGTACTTATTTTTTGGTCTGATGGTACTTACCTTCTAAATATTGAGACATCCAAAGGTTGTAATAATAAACACTGAAAATGCAATTTCTTGATTTCCTTTCAGACACTTGTGATAAAAACCCAAAGGGCAGAAAGCAAACAATGGCTTCAAAACACATCACACCAACCCATAAACTGAACTACATGAGCAGCAAAGTGTGAACAAAGGAAATATATCAAAACTGCATTTCCAATAAACTTAATCCATTCAGTTTAAAAGCAGACGGGCGTCGCCCCAACATGTACACAAGCAGCACACATCCCCTTTCCTCCAAAGAGAAAAACAAACGCAAAAGTTAAATCCAACCAGTGCCACTAAGTACAACTAATATGCGAAAAGCTGCCAATCATACTATGTACTCAACCAACAGAGGATATATGCTTGCTTAAATCGTGTTTGCAACAATCAATTCTTGTATCATGATCCAGCCAACGGGCAGAAATAGAACCTGCCAAATGATCAAGCCAACGGGCAGAAATAGAACCTGCCAAATGCGTCGTACAAGAGACTTAGATCACTTTTAACCATAGCTACAGTGTGGCACAACGAGCATGCTGCATGCATAACATAGTAAATCAACCTACCACTTGAATCATTGAGTTTCAACCCTACAAATTTCCGTCATGGCCTTCAAAAGTAAGATCTGAAGCTCCAGCATCCATCAAATTTGTAATTAACATAACATTGAAGGAAACTCCAAACTTACCTGAACATGAACAAAACTGGCAGCAGCAGAACTTAACAGAAAACTTGCACTTAAATTTGGTGTTCAACCAAAAATTTCCTGGGACGGCAGAGTGTTTGATGCATGGCATTCAATTTGTAAAAATACAGCCATCTGTCTAACTAAAGCTCAACACAAACACCACCATGCACACAGCTACTGAAGTTGTGTTGAGATTGAGCTTCAATTACACATCCTGCTCTATTAGCATTAATATATGTGTTTGGTTTATGCAAAATACACAAATTCTTACTTTAAAACCTGTAACTAATTTCAGATTGGTAGACATCAAAAAGAAAAATTGTGTGTGTGTGCACATGTGTTTGTGTGGTATATGAACAATTCACACTTTTAAATCAGAACTAGTTCAGGATTGGTAGACCTCAAAAAAAGTTATTTTAATGCAGATGGATTTCAGAAACAGTCGCTGTAAACCAAAATCATAATAAAAATGATACAGATGGATCATAAATGCTGGCAGTCAGATGATACAACAATCTGCTACATCACAAAGTAAGTGGTTAAGTTTTCAAGATCAACAACATAAAAATTAAAACAACAAAGTAATCAAACTACATAGCTGAGAAGCACAAATACAGAGGTAACATTGAAGTAACATGGCTTCACAACGTAAAAGTGTAACAGGAAAAACAGCAACATGGGCGGGCATGCTGGTATATAGGTTCTAGGGAAGCTTGGTAATTTTGGTTTCTTGGACTTATAAGTAGATTCGTCAAGGTGGGCCATGACTATGTCATATGCTGGTTCATCTTCCAGTTTAGGCAGACAGTAGGCTAGCTTCAGGCTTCATAGAACTCAGCTGTTTTGATGGGGATGGGAAAGGCAAAAAAGGGAAAACATGAGCATCAGAATTTTATATACAGGGAGATTGGATAGGTTATGATTATCAAATGACTGGCCAAGGGGTAATGCCAGTTATAACAACAGACATGAAAATCTCAAGGGACAACCATAGTCTACCTGCTGGTACCATCATTAAACATAGTTTCTCCTCCGAGAAACAGGGTTCTGGCTAGATAACCTGATATCATAAGCTTCAAATCAGGATTAATGCGTTTCAAGAACAGCATTTGTGGAAAAAAGAAACAGGGTACTTAATTAATAAACCCAAGATTAGAAGCCTACTGCGCTCATGAACAAACCCAGATAACTCTATTCAGAGATATTTGTGACTAAAATTCGTTAAGTGTTACCACAAAGTCCCAAATTTCAAATTTTATGAATATCCAACTTGAGGTTCTACACTTACTGTGAAGTTGTAACCTAAAATTGGGGATACAGCTAGCTACTCGATATATATTTGCACAAAAAGAGCAACAGAACACAAAAAAAATTTGAAAAAAAGGAGGGGAGGATATGAAACTAAGAAGAGGCAATTCAAGAATGAAAAGAGAAGAAAGTTTTACCCAGAACTACCACTCCGCCCGGAAGAATAACCCCCGTAGGCACCGTAAGCGCTGCCGCTACCACCAATCTACATATGATTTGAAGAAAAAGTGTTGTCAAGTGAAAAAGAAGAAAACCTTTGTAAAGTGAAAATAAGTCACCTCATTCTTCGAAGAAAAGTCTAAAAATAGCAGTAAAAATATACCTGCGAACCACCATAACTTCCATAACTGTCATTAGTAGCAAAATCACTTGAGCCACCATAGCCAGCAGAATAAGAATGCCCACGACCATGTCTTTTACCATCCCTACTATCATAATTCGGACCATCTGGACCATCTGCTGACACAGGAAGATAAGGCAGAACTGGCAGGAATCCAGGCATTCCACCTTCCCTGTCGAAAAGGTTTGCTCTTAATCTGGTAACTACTTGTATAAGAGCATCCTTAACAATATCAAGTTCTCCAGAAATCTGTAAAATGAAACACAAAATTGTCAATATCTGTATGATACGAGCCAAATCAAGGAAACTCTAAACACAATATCAAAAAGAAAAATTTCAAAATGACACAAGAAAATACAAGAGTCAGGAAAATCCAGAAGCACGGTTAAAAAGACTTTACCTGCACCATCTCATCATCTTCAGATGCAATTTTGGGAAGATTTTCCTTAGAAAGTATGCGAATATTAGCTTTGGTAAGTCTCCTCATCTCAGTTACAATAGCCCCACCTTTCCCAATTAGGCAGCCAATTCGTGAGGTTGGAACAAGTAGGCGGGTTGTGAATGAGATAATTCCTGAATCTCTTTCTACTTTTTCACTGCATCTGGGTTGCAAACGCACTGCTGCTTCAATAGTTGCTGAGAACGAGTCTTCAAAGAACTGTAATGGTACATGTTAAAAAAAACGATGATGTAAATCCTCCACCGATACAACTCCACGCAAAAAACAAATGGAGCAGTAATTCACCTCTTTTGCTGATACATTAATTAAGCAATCATCTCCTTCAGTAGCTGAACTATCAACCTTAATAACAGCCCCCGAATCCTGTCTGATTTGGTTAATTATGGTACCACCCTTTCCAATCACACCTCCAATATTCGCAGTTGGACAAACCAAGCGAATAGAAAATTCTTTCGAGGATGCTTCATCTCTTGGAGCTGAGTACAAGGAGCGTGACCAGTCTCCAACATCACCTTTGTACCCCCCTCCATAAGGACCCATCATTGGAGCAATTCCCATTAGTGGGGGACCACCAGAAGGACCCATGAGTGAACCACCCGAATACATAGGCACCGAAGAAGTAAGTAAATGCTGAGATCGTGATGGGTTATCATGAAGGCGAGATGCAATTTGAAAAAGAGCCTTCTTGACAAGTGGAGCGTCCCCAGATATCTGAATCCATGATCAAGAACTTAATAAGCATACATATGAAAAGAATTTCCAGTACCTAGAAAACAAACAACTTGCACAAAGTGACTCCAAAGATTTCTCAACAATTCCACGCCTCACATTCTAATATAGCATGCTCCATCAAACCCTGACCACTTATTAAGGAAAAAAGAATAAACATCACACACATTTTACAAGCATATAATGTTAAGGGTCCAAAGAGTGGAATTGTGCAAATTAACATAAAAGAAAGTACCATACAGACCAATAAGAACATGCAGAGTATTACTCTCTTCAGGTAAGATGTCGAAATGCTACCTAGAAATTTACCCATTAAAGATCAAAAGCACCAAGAACCCAAATCGAATCATAAATTTAAGACATCCGTATGCAAGAAACAGGAAAAGTTCAAAAATTCATTAAAAAGTTCAAAAACTTATTCAAAATACCTGCACAAGCTCATCAGAGTTCAAGGCACAAGCAGGCAGATGGTCATCCTTGAGAATCCGAATCTGTGCACCGGTTTCACTCCGAATGTTCTGAACAATCTGCCCTCCTTTCCCAATAATGCAACCGATCTGATCAGACGGCACAAGAAGCCGCACAATCACATGGTGCCCCCCGCCACCACTACTGCCACCGTCCGCCTCCTCGTCGTTATTATTATGCGTGTCCTCAGCAATCACCCTATCATGGACCCTGAACAGAGCGTCCTGAGCCGGAGCCACATACGTCCCGCCATCTTCGAACCCATTCGTCTCATCGCTCGCACTGTAAATAGTAACAACCCGCTCCTCGCTGCCCGGCACCGTCTCCCCAATTCGAATCTTGGACTTGGTGTCCCCCCTCAGCTGCTTCACAATCTCTCCTCCTCTCCCAATTATGCTCCCAATCTTCTTCACTGGGCACAAGTACCGGTACACCGTGTCCTCCGCATCGATGATGAATTGCTCCCTTTCCTCGCCGGGATTTCTCCTTTTGTTTCCTCCTCCGCCGCCGCTGTCGGCGTACTCCGACTGCGAATGAGAACGCTTTCCGTGACTATTCCTCTGACCTGCCATCGCTTATCTGTTTCCCAATCATTCAATCAACAAACAACATCAGTACGAAATCTGATTCAACTCTAATTTAGAAATATTGGGTATACAGAAACCCTAAATTGGAGAAGAAAATCGAGTACCTTTTGAACAGAGAGAGATGTCGATCGAACTGCCAGATTATGCTGTCTCTGCTTTTTGGAATCTTAGATTTAGATTTCTAGGGTTTTGACCGCCCTTTCTTTTTCTTTTGTTATACACTCAGCTTTTCACACTTTTGACCGCCCTTTCTCTTGTGAGGAAAATAAAACAATTAATTTTAGAGAACTTTAACGAAAAGTACCTGGTACTGTTCATTTTAACGAAAAATCACATTTTTACACTAAAAAGTCAATCCTGGTACTATTCACTTTACCCTTTATTTTGTCCTTATCATTAAAACTCAAAGTTTTCAAGTCCTTTTCATTAGTTTTCCTTTAATTTTAAGTTAAGTGTCATTTTCTTTTTTTATCGATAAATTTGTTAGATTAAATGTTAAATTAGTTACTGATGGGATTCGAACCCACGCTGTTAAGAGCTCAATTACTTTTTATCATTGTAGTAAATGGCCACTTGCAGATGTGTGTCTTTCAATATCACGTATCATTTAATGTTATTAATAATTTAACCTTCAAATTAAATTTTTTAGTTTTTTAAATTCTTAATCTCGATCTTGCATTTTTGTATTATTTAATATTACGTATTGTTAAAGAAATTTGTTTTTGATGTGTCAGTGGTTTCAATGGTACGGATCATTTGTGCATAAAAAATATATATTGCCAGATCAATAATTAGCCAGTATAAAATATAAACTACCTTTGTTTCATCACTTTTGTTTCATTTAAGCAATTTGTATTCTTTGAACTGTGTGACAAAAAATTTAATTCAAGACGAGAGTTTAGGATAAATATTTGTATTCAACTAAGCTACCAGCTCTTACAAATTAAAAAGATAATTAGCAATTATCTCCCAAATAATATGAATTTTTTCTTTTTATTTAATATAAACCCCTCTGCCTACTAAAATCGTGTTCACCAAAATAAAATTTTTACTACGTCGAAAAAACGATGCAGTACATTAATTGTAATTAGTATTTGTCCACCCACTTTGTATGTATGAACATATTTTTTTAGAAAATAAGGAGAGATGGAGAGAGAGAACGTGAGAGCAGTGAGAGGTTTTTTTTTTGTTTTTTTTTAATTTTAAATATTAGAGATATTTTAATATCATCTGTAGACGAGGTTTTAATAAAAAAAAGTAAAATTTAGATATATAAAATTACATTATTGCCCATCATTTTTTTTTATGATAGAAAACTAAGTTTTTTTTTCATCCTCTTTTAATTGATAAAAAAAATTTCATTAATTATTAGAGATAATATATTTTATATATCGAATCGTGTTTCGGTTATATTGAAAAATTTGTCCACATCACGCAGTTCACAAACAGATTTACCCTTGTGTGAGTTCTCTTATCAATAGAAATCCTCCCACGGTCCCACCTGACGTCCCCAGTTCCCACCCAATCGAATCGACCCAAACTCGCAATTTTCACGGTAAAATCTCCCCCACTTTCTCGACGGCCAAACACCCCAATCCCTCTCTAATCTCTCTCTTCCCCAAACCCTAACTCCCAATCCCCAACTTGGCCGACCCAATCTCTGCCCTATGTCGACATCGGGGACGCCGCAGTTCCGGTACACGCAGACGCCGTCGAAGGTGCTCCACCTCCGTAACCTCCCGTGGGAGTGCGCCGAGGAGGAGCTGATCGAGCTCTGCAAACCTTTCGGCAAGATCGTCAACACCAAGTGTAATGTCGGCGCCAATCGCAATCAGGCCTTCGTCGAATTCGTACGCCCCTCTCACTTTTCTCATTTCTAATTTCTGTGTCGTATTTCGGATGTTAATAAATTTATTGAATTTTCCAGGATTGATGATATTTAGCTTGAGGGTTTTATTGTTAGCTGCCTAATTTGTGTGAATTCTAATAGATTTACTAAAAAAATTCAGAATTTTAATGAAATCTAGCTTCAGGGTTATCCAGTTAGCTGCCTAATATGTATGAATATGCTTATTTCTTGTAAGGATTTTAGTTTTTATATCTTTCGCATCTCGCAATGTTTATATGTTGATGAATGTGGTTTTTTATTTTGCAGTCGGACCTAAACCAGGCCATCAATATGGTTTCGTATTATGCTTCATCCTCGGAGCCTGCGCAGGTCCGTGGTAAAACCGTGTACATTCAGTATTCAAATAGACACGAAATTGTTAACAACAAAAGTCCGGGAGATGTGCCCGGAAATGTCTTGTTGGTAACCATTGAGGGTGTTGAAGCTGGCGATGTGAGCATTGATGTTATTCACTTGGTAAGTGCTTTTTGGCCCACATTTGGACATATCTTGTATTAAATTGCAAAACTTTGTTTCAACCTGCCTGATCCATGTCTAGAGATCATGATATGCCGAGGTGTTTTCTATGTCATGGGGTTCTTGATGAACGTTCAAATTTTTTTTTGTGTATAACACATATTACGTTTTTTCTTTTTTACTGAAATCAGTTAAACAGATGGTTTTGTCTCTTATTTAAATTCCTTTGTTGGAAGCAGTTTGGAATTATTATCATGTACGTCATACTCCTTTCTAAGGTCACGCATATATGCACAGGTGTCATTCTGCACTTATAACTCATCTGTTCAGAATTTTTTTGCTGCCCTTAGTATTTTCATCTGGGAGGGTTTCTGCTGTTGTCTTGTTTCCTGCTACATCAATGTAATATGTTTATGATGAACTGAATCATTTTTCAGGTGTTCTCTGCTTTCGGCTTTGTGCACAAGATTGCTACTTTTGAAAAAGCAGCAGGCTTCCAGGTGTGTATTGGATGATCTTTCTTAGTATTGCATATGATTTGTACTCCAGATGCTACATGCTTATTCTCTCATTTTAATTTTGCAGGCATTGATTCAGTTCAGTGATGCTGTCACCGCATCTATGGCAAGGAATGCATTGGATGGAAGAAGTATACCCAGGCAAGCACACTACATACGTTCCCTCCTCCCACCATCATTTTCTCATTGATATCAGTACATCTGGGAAAGTGTACATTGTTGCTAATTTTGACATGTAATGCTTTGCATTCAGGTACTTGCTTCCAGAGAACGTCGGTTCATGCAACTTACGTATTTCATATTCCGCACACACCGATCTGAACATCAAGTTCCAGTCTCACCGAAGCAGGTAAGAAACAGACCCAACAGGTCAATAATCTATTTCTGGTTTTTATACTGGCTGCACTCTTCTGTGTCAGATTGTGATGATTGCTACACTCCTTCGCTGATTTTATTGCATGTTAAATCAAATGCTAATTGGTGTGTGTGCTTTTTGTCATCTAGGGGTTAGTGAAGCTTGGTAGCCAGAACACAGATGTGTTGTCATGGCCATTTAGTAATTCCTTGATCTTATATAGTACCCTTTATGTATTTATTATTGCGGAAATGTACCAAATTAGCATTGTATTCAGTCTTCATCTTACACTATCACACACTATACAATACCTTCTATTTTCTTTGTCATCACATTTTTCTTGGTGGGATGGCTTCTTGTCCAGCATATCGTCAGTGTCATATAAACATACATACTTTATACTAAATTATTAGATTTGGAATAAGATACTGCTAGACAACATATATTACTGACACTGTTAATGCATAGTGAAAATGTGTTTACATTCTTCTCATGATTACTAGAAATAATCACTTTTATTTAAATTTGACATAAATTTATTGGTTGTATGCTTCTTACACAAAGTGTTTAGAGGCTAATGCACAGCCAAAAGAGAATTGTAAAAACTTACATGTCATAAATATTCTTATTCATTGCATGTAACATCTATAATTTGGAACTATCTATATTGTATTTTAGAGAACCCTCTTTTTCTACTAAAGCAGGTTAAATGGTGACTTAATCCTTCCAGTATTTAATGAATTGAGTAATATATTAACTGTTAAGGACAATAAGGTGATTAAATAATACTTCCACAGAGCTTATCAAAGTTCATTCTTATTAAGTGTTCTTCTATTCGATATCTTCCTTTTTTTATTGGTAAAACACTATATACCTTTTTTATTTGGGTTTCAAATTGGCTTTTTAAGGATGTGTTTCTGCTCTCAGGCAGTTTTTTAGACTCTCACATCAGTTTGTGCATGTAATTGTGGCTTAATAAGTATGATTTTGGTTGCATTGATCCTGCAGGGACTATACAAATCCGCTCCTTCCTGTAAATCCTACTGCAATAGAGGGAATTATGCAGGTTTCTTCTTGCTTTTAGAACGTTCTTTTTAATATGTATTATGCAGTGTTGGGTATTACTACCTAAGCGATACGCCCCAGCGTTGCCCTGACTTTATTTCTATCTCCAGCCTACTGTAGGTCCTGATGGAAAGAGGAAAGAGCTGGAGAGTAACGTGCTTCTTGCTTCAATTGAAAATATGCAGTATGCTGTCACTGTGGATGTTATTCACACGGTTAGGATTTATACCTTTCATGCATTTTTAGTACTCAGTTTACTAAGAGGATTTATAGATATCATGATCCTTTCTTATATGCTACAGGTGTTCTCTGCGTTTGGCACTGTCCAAAAAATTGCTATATTTGAGAAGAATGGCCAAACACAAGCATTAGTTCAATACCCTGGTATTTCCTCTTTCAATATGACTTTTTGGTTTGTCACTGATCTTTGAGAATTCGACTGTGGCTGACTTGTGAGATGTTATTTTCAGATCTCAATACCGCAGCAGTTGCCAGAGAAGCTCTAGAGGGACACTGCATATATGATGGTGGCTATTGTAAGCTTCATCTATCATACTCTCGTCATACTGATCTCAATGTAAAGGTATAAATATGAGTTTTTGAGTTAAAACTGTTCATGAGAATAAAAATAAGAAGGAAAATGTAAAGACGATCTTTCGAGGAAAAAGTGGATCTGTTCTTGGTCAAAAAACGATTTGGTCCTTTAATGTATGCTTCTTGACACTTACTTTTCCATCTGGTTATCCCAATGCATTCCCAAAATATCTTTCCTGAGAATTTGATTGCTTGTATTTATTTTTACTTGCAGGCGTATAGCGACAAAAGTAGGGACTACACTATCCCAGATGCTAGTTTGCTTGCGGCCCAACAAGTTTCTGGTTACCCTCCTCCAGGAGCTTGGCAGAATCCTCAGGCTGCTCCGATGTACCATGGCAATGAGTACAGTGGTGCAG